GAATACCAACTTTAAAATCTCAAAAGAAAAAAAGTTATTAACAAATTAAAAAAAGACGATTTTCGATGGTTTTTTCAAGTTTTCTCAGCAACTACGCATTCAAATTATATTCAACGCGCGTCAATCGATAGGTTTTTTTAAGATCTACAACTTTGTCATTTAATTTTTCGGCATTGGAGGTCAACTTTTTTTTCAAACGCGAAAAAAGTGATTTTCGGACTTTCTTGAATTTTTTAGGTCAACTTAGCCACTGAATAACCGAAAAAACAAAACGCTATGTTTCTTGAATCATTTTCTTCTATATCAACGTATTTTTTGTTTTCTGCTAACACTAATGTCAAATTTAACATTGAGCCTTCGTAGATTAATTGGCCTAATACAGGTTTAAAGTCTCAATATCCGGGGCTGGAGCGAGAAAAGAAGCCATTGTTTTTAAAAGTGCGGGAGAGGCAAACCTTTTTGATGACTCAGGCAGTGAGAGACCTTACCAAAATTGGAATAGCTTTATACCAGGCACCAACCTCTACGGGGCTTATTTTAGATGTTGACATATCCTTAAATGAGGAGAAAATCCTGGCGGGAATAAATATCGAGTATAGAAAGGATATAGCAAGAATAGAAAGAATCAATAGGTGGATAGAGATGAAAAACGGGGAGGGAATCATACAACCGTGGAATAAAGTAGAAGTTTATTTTAAATCTGAAATCCCAAAAAGTATAAACATCTACTTTGTATACTGCCCAGTTAGACTTTTCGTTCCAGCAGTGATTAGGTGTTATAGGTGCCAGAGGTTTGGACATGGTCATTTGGCCTATAGAGGGGGGGGGGGTGAGATGTGAAATATGTGATGGGGATCACAAGACATCGTCCTGTAGGGCTGAGGGATCGGATATAAGGTGCATCTTGTTTGAATTTGCCGCTAAGTTAAATGCCAGAGCTCCACCTGGGTGGTGACGAAGCTACGGACATAGCGGTGAAATGTTTTGAAGAGCGATTTGGGACTGAGGGAGCGACTGAGCTTAGGCGTTTGCTGGGGGGAGCGCGGCATGGAGGGGGGAGGAGCGAGGCGTGTATGATACATAGTCAGACTGGGGACGGCAACCTCCTGGAAGCACAGGTGTTGAGGGATGAGAAAGACGCGCGAGAGGATAGATAGGGAAAAACGATCAGGATAAACAACAAAACAGTTAGAAGCGAACCACCGGGAGGGAGAGGGGAATGTTATGGGTCGCGGGAGGACGCCAGGGTTGTTGATACAGCACTCTTAGAGGCATGGGGAGAGGAAACACAAGACTACACAAGAATAGAGGAGAGGGGGTAGGTTGGAAAAGCCAAATAATCCAAAGCGAGGACGAGGAATTGGACAGTGTAAATAAGCACAACCAACGCTACCTATCGGGGCCGCGGATTGAGGGGTCAGTGCACGGATTGGGATGGAATGAGGTAGTGGCGGGCGCGGTTCGGGGGGGCGGGCAAGGCGGATGAGGGGGGTGGTGGAATGGAGGAGTGAGGTGGGTGGATGATGGAGATGGAAATCGGGAGGACAGCGAAGGCTGTGAGGAAGAGAGGACGAGGTGAGGGAGAGGGTGAAATACCGATTACGAAAAAGAAGCAGACTAGGTTAGAAAAGCAGCAGTAGAAAAGGGAAATTAGGGAGAGTAGCAACAAGGTTGTAGAGATGGAAGATAGGGAAGGGTGGGAGAAACTGAACGCGAGCGAAGGAAAGATAGACCCGACAACTGACTTTATAAGTAAACACACAACAAACGACCTGAGGGAAAAAAACGTAAATAAGCAAATCTAAAGTAGAAAGCAGTGTAAATAGAATGAACGGTTGTATATAACATTGATTTTTATACTACGATAAGATAGAGTTCTCTCTTCTTTTTATTCAATTATTCATTTAATTATATAGATGCCGAAATCGGACTCCGAAAAAAGTACTTTTTTCGGCATCAAAAATTAAAAATTTTACTTACTACAAACATTGCATGATAGAATAAGTCTAGACGAAGAGATTAAGCCCTGAAAAATCGCTCCAGCATTATTTCCTGACGTCTATTGAAGTTTTTACGAAAGGTGTTTTTTTTCGAAAAAATGCGATATTTCGAAAAATTTTTAATATTTTTGGCTAAAAAAACAACNACTTGAACCACATCAGAAAGGAAAGAGAAAACAATGCTGAGGGAGGGGGTCTTATAATACTGATAAGAAATAATATACAATACGAGGAAATTGAAAGCCCAATCGAAACAAATCCTGCAGAGTAGGTGTGTACAAAACTCGTAAAGGGCAAACATTACAGTCATAAATATTTATGTGCCACGAAATGTAAACATATCCAAAGAGAAATTTAATAAAATATTCAACTACGCTATAAACTTTCAAAGGGTAATAATTACTGGGGACTTAAATACTCAACATGAAAACTGGAAAAGCAAGGAAACTAACAGGAGAGGCTCCTTCTATTAGAGATTTTAAATGAACAAGTAGAATTTACATTGATCAATACCGGGAAGCCAACTAGAATACATAGTAAAAAAAGGTGCCCTTGATGTCACGATTTGCTCGAATAACTTACTGGGACAAATTGAATAGGACACTCATTTAGATACAATGGGGAGTAACCATAGACCTCAAATAATAAAAGTAACTACGCACGGGTTTTATTTAATGCCAAGTAGGAATTTCATGGGATTAAATAGAGTAGACTGAAAAATGTTCACAGTGACTATGCGAGAAAATATGGAAGGTATGCCTTAATAAAATAACGATGATTGGGCTCTCACGTACACTGCATTCATAGAAAAAATATACAATTGCCTAAAACGGTCAAACGCGAGACTTGACGCAAGTAATAAAATGGTGGGATAAAGGCTGTCAAGAGGCTATAGAAGAGAGGATAAAAGCGATGAAAGATTATTTAAAAAATGCAAGTACCGATAAATACAAAAAATATAGACAGGCGTGCATAAACGCTAAAAACTATACTAGCAAAATCAAAAGAAAAAAATTTAAAGAATTCTGCGGTAATCTAAACCCTCATCAGTCTGTCAATAATAATTTTAAATTTTTTTAAAGATACAACAACCGCTTTACTAAAGAGGACCAAAAAAGTGAAAATAAATTTTACTTGAGAATAATGAAATTATTGAAAATATCATTCAAAAGATATGTTATAAAAATGAATACAATTTTGAGGAAAAAGATGAAAGCCAAGTACCCTCTGGAATGTCTATTTTGACAAAAAATATTTCAGAGCTGGAAGTCATGAATGCAATTAAAACATCAAAAGCAATTTCAGCCCCGGGAAGTGATAGAATAACTTATAAAATTCTAAAAGAACTACCAAAAGAAGCCAAGTCATGGCTGACGGAATTTCTAGACTTTGCTTATAAAAACAAACATTTTCCTGAATCGTGGAAAAATTACGTCGTAAGTTAATTACCGAAAGGGGAGGGGGCCTTCAGGCCTATAGCAATCAGCAATACAATTTTTAAAATCTTAGAACGCATAATTGGCGATAGACCGACGTGGGCTATTAAAAATTTAAATTTAATACCGAATAACTGTTATGGGTTGAGAAGAGAAAAGTCGTGCGAAGGGTGCTTTGCCATACTCTACACAGACATTATGGTTGCTAAACAAAAAAAGGAAAACGTGGGTGCAATATTTTTAGACATTAAAGGGGTCTACGATAATGTGAATATAGAAATACTAGTCGATGTTTTGAGAAAGGCGAGACTTCCTCCACAAACTATACAGTTTGTAAAAAACATCACGTTAAATAGAAAGATCCAATTTTATTATCAAGGAGTGGAGGAGGGTAAGGGTACTGCCAACAAGAGCCTTCCTAAGGGATCCATCCTGAGCCCAATCCTATTTAATATATATTTAGCCGAAAGAAATAGGGTACTGGACTATCGTATAAAAAATTTGATGTTTGCTGACGATGTGGTATTATACTACTCTAACAAAAATTTTCGGGAGGTTGTAGCAATATTGAAATAAGACTAGACTCCAGCACCCTAAATAATAGTGAAGAAGTAAAGTACTTGGGAGTGTATTATGATTTGTGGTTGAAATGTAAAACACACATAACCTACCTAGTAGCGTATCTAGGAAGTTGATAAATATGATGAAAAGTGTTGCAGGTGTGGGGTGGGAGTCCCATCCTAGCACCCTTCTTACTATATATAGATCACTGATTAGACCTACACTGGATTGGGGGGGGGGGGTTTGTTTGCGGGGGCAAGTATTTCCAATTTAAACAAAATTGACGTGGTGCAGAAGGAGGCTCTGAGGGTGGCCCTGGGCTGCTTATGCTCAACACCGATAAATGCGCTACACCACTTAGCTTCAACCGAAATTAACGTTTAGAAGATAGGAACTGGCGGCTAGATATGTGTCAAAGATGGCTGGCAATAAACGAAACATGCTTTTACCGAAATTCAAATTCATCCAATTAAAATATAGTTATACCGTGAAAAGAAACCATTTGTTATGTACAGAATGGAGTAAACTCCAAGAATCTATTAATAGTTTTATGAAAAGCAATAAGCCAATCGCTTTTTCGATACCATATCAGGCCCTATTTTTGGGGGATGTGGTGGAGGAGGGTGGTGGACGGGGCGGGCAGGGGAGAGAGGGACTTGCTGACGAGGGGAGGGAATACGTGAGCATATACACTGATGGCTCAATGAATTTTAGGGGACAAACTTGCGAGTGTGCTTGTGTGGTGTGGTGTGAAGAGAGTGGAAGAACGATCTTCTCGGATGGGGTTAGATTGGGGGATGAGTCAACGATATTCGATGTTGAGGCTCTTGCGGTGGCCAGGGCGCTGAAGTTTGCAAAGAAAAATAAAATCAACAAGTTTAAAATATTTTCTGACTCAAGGGCAGTTCTACAGTACTTGGCCACTCTGGGGCCTCAGTCGCATATGCACCCTTTGATTGGTGAGGCGAGAGGAGTCATCCAGGGGTTGAGAGAGGAGGGTAGAGAATTTAAACTAATCTGGATTCCAAGCCATAAGGGAATCAAGGAAAATGACAGTGCTGATAGACATGTGAAGATAAGGAGCCTCTCGCCTCAGATTGGTTTTAAGGGGGTTTACTGGAAAAACTCTAAAAAGAAGTTTAAACAAATTTTCATGAATAATATGAGAAGATACATAAATAAATACGGAAAGGCGGTTAGATTTGTCATGCTCTCGGGGGATTTTTCGAGACTGCCTGGTTTGCCCCAATGAACCTCTCGAGGGATGAAATATCCATTTAAATAGACTAAAGACTGGTCACGCCCGGGTGGGATTCCATCTCTTCAGGAAGGGGATGACAAATACAGATGATACAGATGACGGATACAGCATTTGCTCTGGAGCTGCTTCAATATGCACAAACACAGAAATAAACTGATTGGGGTTCTCAAGGAGGAGGGAGTTGATCTGGGGATATATGTACAGGAAATGGTGTGTAGATCGAATGAGAGAGTGCTGAGGGGAGTAGAAAGGTTCTTCAGGGTTAACAAATGTAAAATTTAAAAATTCCCACCTGAAAGCGGGAGACAAGGAGTAGAGATATGTTGGAGCGCGAACACTGTTTCACTTCCCTTCCCGTCCCTGATTGGTTCCCATGTCCTACACCTACACGCAAAATGAAAAAGGAGAGAGGAGGACAAACATGGTCTGAAGAAAAGAGGGAAGGAAGAGGAGGAGACTGAGGAAGCAGGGGTGAAGGGCAGCACCGAAACTTTAGAGAGGAGAAAAAAGGAAAAGAAAGGAATAAGAGGAAGAGCCACTAAGATTGGGAATTGGTGGAACTTAGCGGATAGCTGAGGTGGCCATCAATTAAAAAAAAAAAAAAAAAAATGACAGAGATCTGTGAGTAATGACTGTAGAGTCGGGCCCAAAACATTCCAACTAGTTTGGACCTCACATAACAGCTAGACCTTTGTCAATACCGTAACGGTACTTTTTTGCAATTGTGAAGCCCCAAATCAAAATTTCTTAACGAAATTTTGTTTATCACATTTGCATCACAGACTCCTTGATTCGCTGTATTCATCCAGTCGATAAATTCAAATCCCTCCGAGATTGGGGGCGTTTCGGTAATGACGGCTTATTTTACCGGGAAAAACGCTCTGTATTCGCGACAATACTACAAATAGCTAAATGAAAATTTGGGGCTACAAAAAAATTGACAGTGTTCTCGTATACTCCAGAATACAAAACAATTAATTCCAAGTGCCTGGAAATTGATCACTTGGCAAAATTAAATCATTTACGGCGCGCCATTCAAAAGTGTAAAAAATAGGCTCCTCAAATGAAACGCCGGATCGGGGTCAACTTGCACAAAACTAGACTAGTAATTTTTTGCCGGAAGGTTACCACCAACCAGTCTGAGAGACAAAGTACATAAATGGGAATCATTCAATGAAACGTAACCGTACCTCTCTCTCTTGAAGTAATAGATGGTGCTGGATGTACTAACCACAGGTAAATGTGTCCGCAGTATGATTTTTTGTGCACGATGTTGAAGCTGCGTCCGCAAATCAATGCGTCAGCAATAGGACTCGCTGTATACGTTCAAGCTGCGTCCGCAGATCAATGCGTCCGCAATGGGACTCGCCGTACTTTTATTTTATTTTTGAAGCTGCGTCCGCATATCAATGCGTTAGCAGCGGGACTAGCTGTATACGTTCAAGCTGCATCCGCATATCAATGCGTCCGCAATGGGACTCACTGTACTTTTATTTTATTTTTGAAGCTGCGTCCGCATATCAATGCGTCCCTAATGGGACTTGCCGTGCATATATTTTATTTTTGAAGCTGCGTCCGCATATCAATGCGTCCGCAATGGAACTCGCCGTACTTTTATTGTATTTTTAAAGCTGCGTCCGCAGATCAATGCGTTAGCAGTGTGGTTCTTCCATGCATTCTGTTTACAGCTGCGAACGCAGTCAGGCTGACAGGGCTCTCTCTTTCTTCAGAGTCCGTATTTACATAAATTAGAAATTGGTAACATAATTTTTTTTGAGGGTTCATTGTCTGTTTTAACTTTAATATTAAAATTAACAACAGTTATTTTTTTATCTATTCATTAATAATCCCAATATTTTATCTTAACATATGGTCTTTGAAAAATGATACTATTTTATTTTCTGTAATCATAGATATTTCAACTTTTCTATATTTATGGTGTCTTGTAATTTTTAATAAAACATCTTTCAAGTACTCAACTTGAGACTCAGAAACTTTTTCTATGCAGATTTCACTATAATTAAATGTATAATACGTTTTTTTTTTCTACGTAGTTGATTCTTTTAGCCCATTCTATAGCTAAATCTTTTTCCCTTGTAAATAATGCTTGTATCGAAGATAAGCTCATAAGATAGTGCAAGCCGTACTTTATGGATTTTGCATCATTTAAGGATACGTCTTCCCGCAACTTTTCCCACAATACTGTTAATTCTTCATCATTATCAATGGTCTTCTTTTTTGGTTCTCGAGTTCTGAAGGTTCCCAATCCAACAGCTACTGCATCCACACGTGCTAGTTGCGTAATGACCTTGATATTTTCTAAACAATCAGTACATTCAATTAAATTAGTTAAGGATACTAAAAAGTTTTATATTATGTATCAATTTATAACTGTATAAATTGAGAATGTTTGTAAGGCATGCACACAAATTCTTCATTTTCATTCACTATACAGTGCGTAAAATTATGCACGCACCGTATAGCAGCAAACAAATAATGCATAGACAAGCAGTATGTTCATATATGAATTTATATGCATGAGTTAGGGCACATTATCTTCCTATGTCAGGTATCTTCTTTTAAAAACTTGAAACTCTTTTCTACCCTTCAAATCTTGATGTAATAACAAAACCCTGCAAAATCAATTTACACAATGCTTACTTAAGCTCTATCCATCTGCTTTTTCTTTTGAAATATTTTTAATATCATATTTACACTTCTGCAATTTTTTCAACACAAATTCAGAAATTTTAACTATAAATCTTTGGTAATAAAAATTTTTTATTATTATTATTCAATATTA